TTTTTTTTTTTGTATGTTATAATTTTAATTTTTGCCTATAAAAAAACAATTGTCTAAATAGCGTGAGAAATAGTGTAATTTGCTTATATAGCGCAAAATATATAATTAATTGCGTAAATAGTGCAAAATTATGCGTAAATTGCGTGCGTTTTTTGTAACTGCGCTAAATGTTAAACGTAATGTCGCGTTTTTTTGGTAAAATGAGCTATATCGCGCTTCGTAGCGCGCAAAATTGAGCTATATATAACATTGTTGGAGACCATCTAAGACGCCGAGAGGTGTTCCTGACATTAAATCTCCGACGATGATATGGAAAAATGTATAGAAATATATCATAAGCTCAGAGTGTATTATCCTTTAACTTTTTTTCTAGATTTTAACTACTTATAGAAGATTAGTAGTTTCCTGAGCAAGCTTCTTCCCTGCCCGGTTATCTGAAGGTTTGTCCAATTGCTCTTTATACCCGAAAGAGCTGCCCGTTAGTTATTTAGCTTCATTCTCATTCGTCTGATTGTATATCCTTTTTATCTATGACCCTACACGTATCCCGTATGGATAACTTGAATTCGATCTACCACGTAGGTCGAATCGCCTCCTATCAAAGTCATTTACCGAGCTTACGGAGTGTCGAGCTCTTCTCACTTACATCTCCAGCAAGTCCTCAACTTAGGTCTCCAATATGTCCCCCACTTTGGCCACCAATAGGTCTCCCACTTAGGTCTCGAGTATCTCTAACTTAGGTATTCAGTAGGTCTCCCAGTTATGTCCCTAGTATGTCTCCCACTTAAGTCCCTAGTATGTCTCCCACTTAAGTCTCCAGTAGGTTTTTCACTTTTTCGAAAACAACTTAACTTTTAAAAACTCGACTTATGGTACTTACTTGAAAACTCTTTTTTTCTTACTTTAGTGAAACTGCTTTTCTCTTTTGTACTTAACTTAAGTGCTTATGGGAACTTGCTTTTCAACTGCGAATTTACTTGCTTGTTGAACTGGTAAAGTAAACTCATTCATGAATTTGAAATTGAAAGTTCAAAAACATCCATACATGGTCTCAAATGTTTAAAAATAACAAGCTCGAAAATGTTTTTAAGCGGAAGCATAAAAGTAAACTACAACATGATAAATGACCACCACTGCCCCTCGCGTTCGATGCCAGCTGCTTAACTTGAAAAAAATAATTGTATAGGGTAAGCAAATCAACTAGCTCACCATGGTAATCTATATTATGCAGTTATTCGTAATAATAATAGATACCATAATCTGTGTATATAATAATTGAATAAGTGTCTGAACTTCACTTGCCACTCGATAACGGAAGACTATCTCATATGGAAACTTCTTACCGTCGGATATCAGCTGACCCACTCGACAACGAGAGGTCTAACTGATGCTTAGGCTTAGGCAAATACTCACAAACATACATTAATTATAAATATATTGTTATTATTAAGAATAATACATAGCATAGAAATCCCCACCTGACTGATGATGAATGAATGAATGATATTGCTCGTGAATTGGGCGAGGGCTCGACTCCTCTTAATCTAAAAATCAATGATTTATTTATTATTAAAGATTTTATTAAAGTTGATTAAGCCATGGAAACAAATAAGGATAACAGAGTAAGTCAAGCACACAAAACAAAGCAAATAAGTCAGGTAACTCTTCTGCTAAAACTTCTCGACTTTTCTAGGCTTGACTAAAGCTCTCGAAATTCCTAACTTATGCTCGAAAAACTCAATTTGAAACCAATTTTAAGGTACGGGTAATACAAATTAACTTGATCCTTTTTCTATTTATACTTTGAAAACTCTTAGCATGCTTTCTATTTCTCTATAAGAGGAATCTTATAATTTGAAAGTGGGCATATAGAACGCAACAATATACACAAAGATGAACGAGGCCTAGTCACTTAGGCAAACATGGCTAAACAAAATACAAACACCCCTTAAACTTCTTAAAACTTGAATCATCTAATCATGCATCAAAATAAGACATATATTCTGCATGAAATCACCACGAACAGAGGCTCGGATAAACCATTAAATACATAGCAAAAAAATAAAAACAAGCTCCTTTTCTTTTCACAACTTATAACTCTGGCATGCATTTAAATTCTATTTGCAACAATAAGAGCTTCTAAAACTCATAAACTGTAACGCCCCATTATTTTTAAGTGAAAAATACCGATTTATTTTCTAAAAATCAGAGTTAATTTTTCAAAAATTAATTCAAAGATGTATTTAACATGCGGTACTCGAAAATTCACACAATTGAAGTTATGTCTGCACTTAACCAATGGGAATCGACCCTCCCGAACAACTCATCTC